ATGAAGCTGAGCCTGGTGGCCTCTAGGTGCAAAGGTGCCTTCAAAGGTGGAGGCAGGGCTCTTCCTATGGCACATGTGGCCTTCAGGACCTCTCCTGTCGCTGTGGGTACTCAGACAAGTAAGCACAGCGTATCCCAATTCCCAGCCACTCAGTAGGTCCTTGTCCCCAGCAGGGGGCCCTGATGGCTCAGTGTTGTCTCTTGTCTCCTGCAGAGCACACAGGCCCATGAGAACAGCAGAGACACCCGGCTGGCATGGACAGGCATTCAGGAGCATCTTGTGTCCACAGGATTCAACCAGGTAGTGTTTCCTCTAGGATTCATGGCACTGCCAGCTAGGTCCTTGTGTAGTCCTTTAGGCTCCTGCTTCAAGAAGGCTTCAAGGGTGAGGCCATTGGGAGGTGGGGTGCAAACAGCCAGTTAATAGCCTGTCCATATACGGCCTGGCTGTGCAGCTTGGTCTCGGGGCCTCAGGGGAATTGAGAACTTTAGAAAACTGGCAGATTCCATTTGCAGTAGCTAAGCTTGACCCCAGGAGCCATGGTGGCCCCATAGGGACCAGAGTCCATGGAGGGAAACGCCCCTTGTCCCTTGTCACCCAAAGGTTCTTAAAGGGGCATGGCAGGACATGAAAACCCAAACTCTCCCTCCCTGTCATGACTCCCTGATGCTCTGGGGCGGGTGACCATGCCAGGCTGCACCCTCAGGCACTGGGTTCCAGGAGTAGATAGACTCCTCTGAGCCTTTGTCTGGCTCCCCCACAGATGCGTGAAAGAGAAGTGAAACTCTGGGACACCCGCCACTTCAGCAGCGCCCTGGCCTCCATCACCTTTGAAACCTCATCTGGGTAGGAACTTTGACATGCTGGGAGCTGGGAGCCAAGAGTCTAGAAGGTGTCCAAACTAGTCACTGGTAACGGTCCCTGGGCTATACCTGTGCTCAGTACTCCAGGGTCCCCAGCTTACCAGCAGGGAGTGCTAAGGCAGTCTTAAATGGGCCAATGAATAAATTTGCCCTGTCTGTTCTCTTGGGCCCTGTCAGGAAACTAGGTCCCAGGTCATGGGGCACACTTCACTGCCTAAGGGTTTATTCAAGTGTGTGTTTGAGTTTAGGTAGGAGCAATGACCTTGGAAATGTGTCAGTGGGGTACAGGTGACAGGAATGAGTTTGCTTTTGCTATGGATGTTGTCATGGAGCTGACAACTTGAGGTTGTGGTAGGAAGGTTGACACTGGTGAGTATGAGATGATGAGCAGATGGCTGTGTTTGCAGGTGTGTGTGACAGGTACAGGGGGAGGCTTGGAGTCCACTGAGGTTTATATAAGAAGTTTGCTTGGGATCTATCTCACATATGTTCTCAAATAGCACAGGAAGATAGTATTTATTTCATCCTTCCATCACTGCCTCTCAGAAATATGAAGAAGAAAGTTTATGGCTATGCCTGGTGGGATCCCTGGCCAGGCCAAGCAGCTCTGTGTAGAGATCACCTTGGTCTATAATGGCTTATAAACCGGTCACTAGCAAGCTGGCAGTTAGCATAGACAGTCTATTCAAACTGCACAGCCATCGTGAATAGCTAAGGAAATGGAGGCTCCAAGAGGAACAGAGACTTTGCCAGGCATGGCTGTAGGGGAAGAAGGAAGGGACTCAGTCCCTGCTCTGAAGCTTTAGCTATGAATGATGGAAGGGCTGATTGGGAACCCTCTGGGTAGGTTGGTTGGGGAATACTAGAGACAGGAAAGATCCCTGGCCCTTGGCTATCATCCAGCCTATCCTTTCTAGAATATTTCAGAACTGAAGAATCTGAATCACAGCAAGGCAAGGGCTTATCAATGGTCCAGAAACAAGAGCATCACATTAGGGGTCAGGGATGCTGGGGGAGTCGTATTCTTTAGGCCCGCCCTCAGAGGATGGAGTAGGTGTGTCAGGGAGATAGATTCCACATCCCCTTTAATGTACAGGGAGAGACTAGGATACTTTGTTTGGTTTTTTTCAAGACAGGGTTTCTCTCTGTAGCCCTGGCTGGCTGTGCTAGAACTCTCTTTGTAGACCTGGCTGGCCTTGAACTCAGAGATCAGCCTGCCTCTGCCTCCCAAATACTAGGATTAAAGGCATGTACCACCATGCCTGACTTGGTAACATATATTTTATAGATGAGGAAGGCAAAGCTGAGGCATATTCAGGGTCAGGGGCTGGGTCTCCAGAGGCACTCCATCAGGGCGGCACTGCCCTATAGGAGACAGAAGTGCTGGGCCTTGGAGCTGCACAGCCAGCATTTATTTATCTTGTGTCCCAGGCCTGACACTGTCTTAGCATCTTATGCCCAGACCTACTCAAGCCAGATGACCTGTTCCTTGCAGGCCTCCAACAGAGGTGTTGTGGGTGTGAAGGGCACTTGGCACCATAAATCAGGTACTTTTTACCTAACACTTCCAGCCAATCAGACCCCACTCTCAGTAGTAGTGATGCTAAGTATCCCTCCCCTGCAGGGCATCTCCTGCCTATCGTTAGGATGACCCCTGAGAAGAGTTAACCATGCCCAGACCCCATGGTGCCACTGGCCAGGGCTGACCCTATAATTACAGCAGTTAAGAATAGCAATGAAGGACCAACGAGGACTGGAATTTGTCAAATCACTCCCAGATGGGCCGCCAGCCCAGCATTCCTCCCCTCAGTCCCCAGCCCTGGCCTATGCCCTGGCAAGCTGACACCCTTGGCAAGGGAGCTAGGACTCTCCAGCCTCCACAAAGCTGGTGGACATTGATGCATGCCATTAACTGGGCTGTTCAGAGAGGTGGCAGGTCCCATGTCCTTGCAGCCATACTGGAAAGCAGATCCCTAGCCACCCCATGATTGAAGATGGAAAGTGTACAGTGTGCCAACTTTGGGCACAGCCATGGGGGAGATTGGCAGCTGTGTCTACTCGCCACCCTTGATCTCTCTGTTACGGATTTTCCATCTTGTTTAGACAGAACAGTGTGTGCTCACAAGAGCTACAGGGCCCAAGGGTCAGGCACATGCCCTTCCCCACCCTCCTCTCCCACGGACCTTTGTCATGGTTCCCATCTCTGTCCTCCCCATGTCATTTTGGAGTGTCTATAAGGATACTTGACACAGTGCAGAGTGGCAGAATGTTGCCAGTTTCCCTCAGGCCATGTGGCTGGTTCAGGCTGCCACCCAGGACTTTCCAGCAACTTCCCAGGTTCAACTTCCCAGGTTCAACATAGGGAGGAGACACAGGATAGCAGGAGGTTCTGCAGAGCCCCTGCTAAAAAGCAGCTGTGGTGAGGAGCCATGCCTGCCTCGTTCCTTGCTCCTGGGTGTACTGAGAATCTGAGTGTGAAGACGGTACAAAGGTGTAGGCTAACTGCAGCAACAGGGTGAGAGCCCTTCCCTGTGGCTTGTCACCTCTGTCTAGACCAGGGAGCAGGTATTGGGACCCATCTGTCTTGTTGTTGTGAGCTATTACTGCTGTTTTACATGGGGTACCTTTCCTCTTCTAAAGGAGATTGTTGGTCTTGGAATGACACCACACTTCACATCTAGGCTGACTTTGGTAGAATTATCTTCAGTGGAGGCTGTATCCTGTATCTTGGCTTGGTCCCCACTAAGGCTGGGGTGATCTGGATACCTTTCTTGAGGGGCTTGTCCCCTTTCTCTAGGCCTCACCACCACCATCCCTCTAGGCCAGATTTGCTTTGCAGCAAAAACATTTACTCAGCGGTTGCTGTTCTTCAGCAGTGGCCCACAAGCCCACAGGCCCACAAAGGCCCCTTTGATGGGGCTGCCGAGAGGGGCAGGCCTCACCACGCCTGCTGTCCTAATAGAACCCAGGCCTACAGGAAATCCACCTGGGCTGCTGCCGCCACCACTGCAGCCTCAGTAGAAAGGGGCCCCACCCAGGCCCAATGTTACCACCTACTGCCCCACATGACCCGACATCCACCTCCTCCCTCTGCCAGAGCCCTCAGCAGCCGCTAATTGAATCCAGAGCCTTTTGTGGCTGAGGCTGACTTGATGCTGACATCAACACCCCAAACCACAGGGCCTGTTCCCCAGGCCTGGCTGGGCCTCCTCCTTCCCTCCCGGGGTGAGACTTGGTACCAGGGCCATGACCCACAGGAAGACAGAGATTGGCACGGGGACCTGTAAATGACTTGCTTCTGCTTTTGCTGGACCCTTGTACTCCCCCAGGGCCCAACTCCTCTCTCAGTCCTAACAGTAACAGGTAAAGATAATGTGTATCCTTCAGTTTTAGAGCTACCCACACCCAGTTCAGGCCACAATCTGTAGTCTTCCTAGAAAACATTCCTTCATTGCAGTTCCAGAATTGCTGGGCACTTCCCCCGGGGCAGAAAGTAAAGGAATACCCTGAACCACCAAATTTGGCACCATTTGCAAGCCAGAGAGTCCTTTGGTCCTGTCCTTGCTGCTAATGTTCTCTTCTGACCTCCCCTTTCTGTCCATCAAGCTTCTTGCTTGGTGATCTGTGTTTCCCCCATCAATGCCCTTCTTTACAGCTGGGCTTGTGCCAGGGTAGTGCAGACAACAGGAAAGAGCTGGAGCCACACATACCTGGCCAGCCTAGGACTCTGTGGTAGAGTCTGGAAGCCACCTTTCCCAGGATCAGGAATTATTAGGCCCTAAAATGAGGAAGCTCCAGGCTGTCGTCTCTATTGAAAGCAGGGGCAGACTGCCCTTCAGAACACCTAAGGAGTATGTGACCTCCCTTGGACTCCCTCTTTGTCCTTGTTTGCTATGAGCCCCTTCCAACCTTATACATAGGCACTGTGGCTCCTGCTGGTAAAAGACTGGGACTAGCCAGGGTAAGCTGCCCTAACCAGTCCATTTTCCTGCTCCATCCAGATGAAGGTACTCACCATGGGTCAGGGGCCATGGTGGGAGCATTCTAATGGGAGACACTGCCAGGCCCATACCTGTGGCCAGTGACCGTGGGTGTCAACAGAACATAAAGCTCATGTACCCCAAGCCCAATCAGAGAGACAGTCAATTTCATTTTATTTTTTATTTTCTTACAAAAGGCCTTCATATCATCAATAGTCTTACAAAAACCAAAGTCCTTGTCACTGAGTTTGAAAAACACTTTCCCAGCATAAACGGGAAAACATCTTTTATAAATACATTTTTAAAAAACAAAACAATAGAAGCAAATCCACATGTGCCCAAAGCACCTTCCTTTCCAGTTTCAAGTGTTCCTGCACTTTTGGGGCCAAGGCCACAGCCATAGTGTCTTCCCCACCCACTACTTCTGGGGCCTTCCTTTACTGGTCACCAGACTCGGTGGCTTGGGAAGCCCAACTTGCCTATCCATGTTACCAGCACATGGCAGGGCTCACACCCCAGGATTGCACACTGCAGAAGACAGTGGGCGCCTGTATTGGACATACTGATGGCTATAATAGTTCATCTGGGCTGTAGCAGCTCACAAATGAGATCCAGCCCAGAGAGGATCAGGGACTGGCTAGTGTCCCACAGCACCACCATGCATGTATGTGCCCTGGGGTGCATAATGAGAACTTGCTTGTGTGGCAGCAGGAGGGTGGCGACCGAAAGCCTGGCCCCCTGGCTGCTGTATCTCTCCTGGCTTAGATGTAGTGCTTAGCAGGGAGAGGCCCCTGAAGGCTGGGCCCTGAGTAGCCCATAAGGGGCACCTCACATTCAGGACCACCTGACAGGGCCTCCCCAACTCCCTCTGTTGCCTTAGAGCTTGGCTCCAAGGGTGCTTTCACCCCCTCTAGTTCCAGGGGCCCAGTTCCTGGTCCCACCTGCCCTTTGTCCTGAGCTGTAACTGTTGTCCGACCCCGCCGCACACAGTAGGCTGCTCCTGCAGCAGCTAACACAGCTAGAAGGACAGCAGCCAGGGCAGGTGCGATAAGGAGTGGCAGATTGCCCTCACGAGCCTGGGTAACGGGGGCGTGATTGGAGCGGACAGCCTGGGGAGTGCTGGCCTCCCCACAGGCCTCCTCACCTTCAGGTATCCGCCCAGCTCCCAAGGGTGTGACACAGATAGAATAGGTGGCATTGGGTCGCAGCTGGGTGACTGTGTACTCTGCAAGTGAAGCAGGCAGCCGTAAGGTCACCAGCCGCTTGTCAGGGCCAGACAAGTTGCGGTAGGTGAGGCGGAGGCTGCGGAGCTGTACCGTGTTGCCCTGCAAATAACGCTGCAGCCCCACACGCAGGGAGGTGGGGCTCACTGGCTCAATGCTGAGAGGCAGGGGCCGAGGGGGCCTTGGAGTATCTGGTATGGAGCTGGGCTTCATCCCTTGCCTCACAGGACTCTCACAGTACAGACCAATGAAGCCCTCAGGACACAGGCACTCCCGGTGGTGTCTTGCTCCTACACGGCAGGTACCACCATTCAGGCAGGTGGACGCTGGGCAGTCCTGGGGCTGAGGAACAGGCCTCATGGTTGGTGGGGCAGTGGATGGTGAGGTGGAGGCCTGGGTAGTTGGCTCTGTGAGGCTGGGCCATGTGGAAGCTCGGTTAGAAGGTGAAAGTGTGGACTCCCTGATAGTAGGCCTTATGGTAGGTACTGTGGCTGTGGTAGTAGTGACTGGGCAGCCAAAATCTGCATAATCCAGATCCAGGAGCAGTCGGCCAGCATTCTTAGGTGGGAAGTGACAGCGTGTCTCCTCAGGGCTGGCCAGTACAACATGGCTCTCACGCACCCAAGGCCCAAACCAGCTCAAGGGGCACAAGCAGTTGAAGGGGTTTCGGGCAGCTGCTAGGAGTCGCAGGCGGGGAAAGAGATTTGAGAGGTCACTGGGCAGGGCCTGCAGGCTCAGGTTGCTCACATCCAATTCTTGCAGGGCAGTCAGACCAGCCAGGTCCTCAGGCCGTATATGGGCAATGCGGGTGTTACCAGCCAGCCGCAGGCGTGTGAGGCCACGAAGGCCTTGGATCACAGATGGCATGTGCTCCAACTGGTTGTCAGAAACATCCAGGTCATGGAGGTTTCGCAAGCGGCCAAAAAGCCCCTCATCCAGCTGCCGCAGCCCCAGGCCAGCCAACCTCAATGCCTCCACATTGGCAGTGTGTAGTACTCCAGATTCCAGGGCTGGGATATTGTTGTAGCTGAGGTCAAGCAGCAGTAGGCGGGGCAAGTGCAAGGGGGGCAGCAACCGAAGCTCATTGTCCTCCAACTTGAGCTCCAGGAGGTGGTCAAGTGCATCAAAGGCACCAGGCTGTATGTGGCGAATACGGTTCTTGCCCAGGTAGAGGCGTTCAAGGCGTCGCAGGCCTCGGAAAGTCTCATTGGAGATCTCATGCAGTTTGTTGGCAGTCAGGTCCAGGTTACTGAGGTTAACCAGTGGCTGAAAGATGCCACCAGGCAGGCTAGTGATCTGGTTCTGTGACAAGTCCAGGAGCTGCAGGCCTGGTAGGCCAGCAAAACTGCCCACATCAAGTGTGGTGATACCGTTCTCAAAGATGTATAGTCCCACTGTGTCAGGTGGCACGTCTCGGGGCACTGTGGTTCCCTGGCGGGCAGTACAGAACACTGTCTGTGGCTGGTTGCACTGACAGCCTGATGGGCAGCCCTGTACTCCAGACTCCCCCAGCAGCAGGAGCAATAACAAGAGAGGTGGCAGGCAGCTCCTGGAGTGCATCTTCTGTTCCTAAGAGCAAAGAATTTATGAGTCAGGGCTGAGGCCACCACATCAGGAAGGCCAGGGGGGAATTCTCCACTCCCCACCCTCAGATGCAGTCGAGTGCAGAACTTGTGAGTCAGGTCCCTAGTGCCCCTGGCCTGTCTCTGTCATCCTTCTCTATGTGATCATACCATTATGGTGTTGGTTGTCATGAATGAACATCCAAAAAGCTGAGAGGCTGGCTAGCTAGTACAAGGACCAACAGCTACTGGCAACAGCTCAGTGACAACACAGTTTCCCCTCTCTTCCTTCCCTCCATGCAGCCAGCTGAGACCAGTCCCTCTAGCTGGCTGCAAGGAGGGAAGGAGGAGAACTATAGATCCTGAAGCCCCTCCCTGTAGAATCTGGAGAGACAGGATGGCAGTAAGCCCGGGCAGGGCGTAAGCAGAGAAGTTGGCTGCTGGGGCCGCTGGCCCCTGCAAAGCACTCTTGTGTCCCTCCCTTCTCTGAGTGAGGAGAGACTGCAGCAGGAAAACTTCACATGGAAACTATGGGATCCGTGTTTTTCCACTTGTGGTGTCAGACCTGCCCAGGATGGGGGCTGCAGGCTGCCAGGATGTGGCCAGTGATGAGGTTCCTAGAGGAGGGGTAGAGGCTGGCTGTCAGCTCTTGCTTGGAAAGTGCCCTTGTCTGGGGGAGCCGATGGCTAAATGAATAGAAACTCCTTTTCAGCCCCTGATAATCAAAGCATGAACTAGACATGAGGGACAGTGTTATGTGGTGACCTGTTACAGTGCCAGGCTAGACAAGTACAGCAGGCTAACTCCTCAGATAGCTCTTGCGGGTTCTGCTCTGGGCCAGATCTCTAGAATGAAGAACAGCACTGTCCCCCAGAAGTGACAGTGGCCTATCTTTCCCACATGCCAGGTCTTGCTTAGCACACTGCTGCCTGTCCCTTCAATGGCCAATTTAGATGGAAGTGTCTTCTCACCCCAGAGTCAGAGGGGAAGGGGCTTTTGGAGGTACCAGTGAGTCTGAGCTAGAGCCTGGGGCTTAAGTAGAGCCAGTTGGACAGGGTCTGCCCCGGGACAGGGTCTACTCCCTCCAGAGCTCCATGTCTTAACAACCCATCAAAGCTGGGCTTCCACTTATCCTGGGATTGAAAGAGGTCAACAGCTTGCTCATTTCACTCAGGCTCCTAGGAAAGCCTGAGGACTACACCCAGGCAGTCCTCACCCTGGGTGCCCCAGAGGCCTGAACCTTGCCTGGGATACCACCCCCAGGCAGGCAGTCCTGCTTAATTTAATGGCTGACAATTCTCTCCCATCCCAGGCACCTGCTGCTCACACAAGGGCCTTTTGTGCTAGAGCTGGGGCCTCCCTTCCCCCACATGTGGTCACAGCAGGTAACAAGACCCCCACCCAGCCTTTACCACTATCCCATCTGTAGGTTCCCCTTCTCCAAAGCATAAGGGCCCCTGGTATATGAAAGGGAAGAAGACAGACTGGGTCCCAGGACAGGTGAGTTAGATACCTGGAACCTTATGCCAGCTCTAAATGAAAGAAAAGGCCTTGTTGCCCAGGTTAAGCCCACAGGCCCCTGTCTACCACCTTCAATGTCAGGAGCACTTAGGTAAGGGCTTACAACTGAGACAAAGACCAGAACCTTGAAGGCCTCAGGTGTCCCTGATCCTAACAGAACCATGGGGCTCTGTGTTTAATAACCTAGAAGGACGCTGTTAAGCTGCACCCCTAGCTCCTTTACCCCACAGAGCCTATTCTACCCTCTTTGATTTGGAGGATGGCTGATTTGACCTGGCTTCCAGATATGGGCTTCAGATGACCTTCATCCACACCTTGTATCCATGTAGGGGCAGAGTCCTTCCCCTCAGTCACTCTTCACAGTAGGGCCAAGCCAAGGTTGGGCAGGAGGAGGCCCCTACACGTGGCTAGCTTGGCCGCTCTGTTGATTCATCTCTTCATGGGGCTTGTTTAAGGCCATGGTTAAGAACTCACTTCCGACAGGCAGGCAGGCCTACTATGTTCAGTTGTCCAAGCTGTGAGACCTCAATTGGGAGCTGGATACTTAGCACCTCACTTTCTTCTGTATATCCTTAATGCCAGTGCAGGGCTGGGGCTGGGGCTGGGGCTGGGCTGAATGGGTGTGGCTAGGAAGATGTCCTTACTCCACACTAGCATTAGCTGCAGGGGAAGAAGGGTAAAGGACATGCACCATAGGATAGCCACTTGGCTAGCAGATTACAAGCTGTGCAATGTCCATACAAGTTGGTAGGAGAGGGAACTGAGTTAAATCAGGAGGGACTGGAGTCCTAGGCCAAGAAGACATACAGGTAATAGCTAATCTAATTCCCATTCCTCCAAGAATCATGCTAAAGTTTCTTTGCCTGACCCCTGGCTTCACCCCTCCCAGCAAGGGGAGACTGAGGCAGCAGATGGTGTTAGAGCTTTGGAAAATTCCAGTTTGCAGACTACAGTGTGTTGGCTGGGGAGCTATCATGGCTCTGAGAACAGTGTGGGCAGTCCTTGAAAGGTATCTGGATAGGGCAAAAGCTGACCATGGTGGGAAAAGGGTGAAATAGTTTAGAGAAGAAGGAGACAGGCCTGACTTCAGGTAAAGTTCTGCTGAGGATCCCTGAGTCCTTTTTTTTTCTTGTTTGTTTTTGTTTGTCTATCTGTTGGTTGGTTGGTTGGTTGGTCGGTCGGTCGGTCGGTTTTTTGAGGCAGGGTCTTACTATGTAGCTTTGTGTGTCCTGGAACTCACTATGTAAACCAGACTGGCCTTGAACTTACAGAGATCCTCCTGCCTCTGCCTCCCACATACTGGGAGTAAATGTGTACACCGAGTTTCATCTTTCACCTACAGAGCTGTTATGGGCAGCCCTGGGGACTCCCCCCCCCCCTTTGAAACAGGGTTTCCTTGTGTAACAGCTCTGGCTGTCTTAGAACTCTTTGTAGACCAGGCTGGCCTCAAACTCAAAGAGATTCACCTGCCTCTGCCTCTCAAGTGCTGGGATTATAAAGGCATGTGCCACCATGTCTGGCTCTTGATGTTGATTTTAAACAGGGAGTTCTTTCTTTTTTCAGTGTGTAATGTTGTTTTTCCTGCATGTATGTATGTGCAGTGCCTGTGGAGGCCAGGAGCAGCTGTTGGATACCCTGGAACTGAAGTTACAGGTGGTTTTGAGTCATGGGTGCTGGGAATCAAATCAGGGCCCTCTGGAAGAGCAGCCTGCACTCTCATCTGCTAAGCCACCTCTCCAGCCTCAAATAGGGAGCTCTTTTAATACGTTCTGAAGACATTTAAAATAGCCTGTCTGGATCTGGGTCCTTGTGCCTGGAGTAAGTGAGGTGCCAGGTGGGGTGAGTGGCTTCACTAGAGTTGTTACTGCTCGGTGCCTTCAGCTGATTACGGTGGCTCTGACAGTACCACGGCCCTTGTTTGATAGCTGATCCTTGTGGGGCTAAAAGTTGTGCGGAGAATTCTAGAGCAGCCCTGGGCTTTAGGGGTCAAAAGGCAACAGTGACGAAGGGTCAGGTCTCCTCCTTGGTTCCTCACCTGGATTGGCCTCACTCTACCACTGCCTGGTGGACAGAGGCAGGAAGGCCTGGCTCTGCAGCACCTAGGAGCCAGACCACAAACCCCACATTAGCATCTACTGGAGCTGGTTACAGCACCTGCTTCCCAAAGCACTTGCCAAATGGTCAGTAAACATTATTAGCCACTGAGGGTGGCTACCTATAAGTCAAGAGTCCTGGCTTCCTCATTAGCAGGACCCACTGTACCACCTTTATGTTAACTAGAGACCAGACCCCTGGGCCCAGGTCAAGGCCACATGACCAGGCATCCCTCCCCTCAAGGCAGTGGGTAAGTGGGGTGGGTCTTTAGTTCTGTAAAGGAATGTAGGGGTAAGCTGTCCTTTGGCCCAACCTCCTGAAGCACATGACCTCCAGGAGGGGCTCTGTGAGTAAGAACAACTAAGGGCATTGGTCATCTAGCTCTGGAGGGCCCAGAATGCCCTCCACACCCAAGTGTGTGTGACACACTGTGGGCACCCACCCATACACATGCCTGAGGTCAGGCAGGGATGGGAGAGTGGGTGGGGTAGAACCCAGGCATTTGGTGAGCACATCAGCCCTGGAGCTGGTACGTCTCTCTGAGGCTAAGGGAGGCTGTGTGCCCAGTGGAGTGGAGAAGACAATTCAGACAAAACCCACCCCCCCTTTTCTTGAGGGTAGGTACAGATAGGCTCTGCAAGTCTGACTCTCAGCTCTGGGCTCCCAGCCTCTGCCTCCTGGTGCTGGCCTGAATGGGCTCTACTCTGCTCGCCAGGCCTGGCAGCAGCCCAGCCCCAGGAGGCTGCCAGCACACACACACCCCCAACTCCCTCCCGCAGGCGGGACTGTGCCGGCGGCCAGAATGGCTGGCTCCAGTTTCGCTGACGTGTCCGAGGCAGTTCTAGGTCCTGGTTTGGTCCTTCCCATCTCCCCTTCTCTAGAACACAGCAATCCTGGCCTAACAGAGAAGATGGTTTGAGGGTCTCTATCAGAAGTTTCTTACACAGAGAACTGGGGAGGAGGCATAGCCCAGGATGCTGATTAAGTCAGGAGGATCCCAAGCCAGTTCTGTTTACTCTGCTTTGTGACCTCTCCCCCCAACTCCCTGCCCTCTGCTGGCTTCCATCGCTGCTATAACTCCAAGGGCTTTTGCACTTGAGCTACAGGTTAGGATTGCCTAGGAAGCTCCCTTAAAACCTCATTTCCCTGGGCTGTGTTCATCTCTTTAAAAAAAAAAAAAAGTCTGGTGGGTCTTCTGCACAGCTAGAGAAACTGCAAAAAGGACAATGAGGCCATCAGCTTAACCACTGTGTCTGTCCAGGAAAGGATTCTGGGCCTTGAAATAGGTGTGGCCAGGGTGGCCTGTCCCCACCCAGGTGGGTGTCTTAAGTGGCCCTGTGGGTGACCTGGCTGCTGCCAGACCTGTCAGCCAGGGCAGATAAATCAGTGACTAAGATCAGTCTCTGGCTCAAGTGAACCCTTGGGGTGGCAGGTTGTGCCATCTTAGGAGAGGTGCCACTTGTAGGGCAAGAACACCTGTGGCCACAGGAGCTATGTGGTGGCTGTGGCCCAACTAGAAGTGGGCTAGTAGAATGGCACTGTCAGCAGGAGGCAGGTGTGATGCCACTGGGGCTCAGCCTCCTATCCCAGGGCTTGGCACCCATTGAATAGGCTGTAACCCTGCAATTAACCCTGAATCTTCCAAAACACCTTAGTCACTGCAGAAGGCCATCCACCCCAAGCCTCCCAGGCACACGAGTCTCAAGGAGATGGGAAGGGAATGGCCTCAGAAGGGGTTTTATCCTGCTCATATTCACTATGCCATTGTTCTACAAGTCACTCAGCAATCAGATGACCCCTCAGCCATTGTATGGCACAAGAGCCACCTTCTGGGGTCCATAAACTGGTCATTGAACCACAATTCTACCCCCACAGTTGTCACTATTGACCAGTGGCTGTGGCTAAGGGCCAACACGGTCCCTAACCTACCCCAGCTTCCTCAGCGCAAGCCGACTCCCTCCTTAATGAGATCTCTCAGGCAGCATCCAGGAATGCCAGAGCATTATTGCATTCCCCAGGAGGAGCTGGCATGCGTTCAGGGGAGGGGGCGTCCCCAACCTTGAAGAAGAACTGGCCTCTTGCTTTCCCCCATCCCCCCAAACTGAGGTGGCCTGAAGACTCCTCACACCCAGGGAGACTGGAATGAGGAAAAGCGGGGGAGGCCTTAGGCCTGGACAGCAGGCTGAGGGGTTGGGGAAAGCAGCCCCGGCTGACTCTGGAATGTGGAAACTGATAAAAGGAAGGAGGTCCAGTCCTCCCTGGCTAACACCAAACGCCAGAGCACCCCTACAGGCCCTGCTGCAGTCACGTGCACAGACACACACCCTCTGGGCCACACTCCTGTGCGCGCACACACACACACACACACACACACACACACACCTCTCCCTCTTTCTCCAAGAACACACACACAAATTCCACAGCAGTGAGGGGAGCTGTTTTCTTGGCAACACAAGGGCCTTGGGCTCCACAGCTCTGGGAGGGGCTCTGAGGGGTGCTGAAGGGAGCTCTGGGAGAGAGGCTGATCCCCTTCACATAAGATTAGGACCTGTGTCCCTGGTCAAGAATGACTTTAGGCATTTACCCAAGAGAACTGTCTGCTTGAGGTGGTGAGGGGGGAAACTACTTCCTGGTGCCAACTGGAACCCCACTTTCCTATTCTTAGAAGCTGTGCAGCACCACCCTGGCTCTTCTGTGGGACTTATCCCTACTAACCCAGGGCTGGGGATATCTGAATGGAAGTGAGAAGGGGGCTACATGCCTAGCTATCTCTCTTGGTCCCAGGGCTACCTGCCAGAGAGGACTCACCCAGGAAAGCATAAGTCTTGGCAGTGTCTGGAGGGGTCCTGTGCTCACCTCCTCTTCCGCCACTTCCAGGGAATGACATCCAAACACATGCCCTTCACCCCTTACCCTCTGGCTCTGTACCCACAGATCTCAGGTGGCTGTTCCTGAGTGCAACTGCTAAGCTTGGGGAGGTAAGGACATGCAGTGCTTGCCCCCTCCCGGGCTGGCAGGGCTGGCAGGGCTGGCACGCGTGCTCCCAGGCCCTTTCCTCTCTGGATAGGAGATGCTAGATAATGGTCTGGAGGGAATCCAGCTGGGCTGCTCATTACCAGAGCCCTCTTCCTGCCTCTGACACTCTGTTTACAGAAGTTCCTCAGGGGCCGATTCCCCTGGGAGAGGACAGTAAACTCTAGAGACTGCCCTCCCATCCCCCACCTGCCTGTCCCTGCTCTATGGGGCTATGCTAACAGCTGGGTCCATACTGGCCTTCGTTGCCCATAACCAATAGAGCTCCTCACAAGGCTCCAGCCCACCCACATGTCTGCTTTCCCAGCACCCAAAATCCAGCCTAAGGGCAAGGGACCTTTTACATTATGGCCAGTCCTCATCCCCAACTGCTCTTGGCCAAGACAAGGAAGAAGGCTCTCTTGGTGCCTCTTCCTCTCACCTGGCATTAATATATAAAGTATGCAAAGGGACCCCTGGACCCTTAGGTTTCTTCTACCCTGTAGACTCCACTCCTAGGATCCAATAGGTGGAAGCAGTCAGCGACCCTGGTGTGGTAATCGTTAACTAGTAGGGGTGAGGTAGTGTGGTTGGCACCAATCAGCTGGCCTGCTATTGACCACAGAGAACCTCAGCAGTCTTCTGGCCCCAGAGCTGTGAGCCCAGGGACACAAAGAACTAGGCTGGCTATAGGCCATTGGGTTTGCAGCCCAAGCAAAACCCCTTTACTGGGAGAGATGAGATGCTGATATTGGATACTGAAGGTTCTGGTCAAAGTCTATCCCTCACCTGGGGGTACACCTACCAGTCTTCCCACTCCCATTACTCTCCAGGGCTGCCTGAATATTTGCAGGCCCCAGTTCTGCCATGTGTGACAAGGCCCAGAGGACCCCAGGCGACCAGTCTGCACAGGGGCACCAGTCTGTCTGACCCCATGAGGGGAAAAGTAACCAGACTACGGCTGGGCCATCCCCTAAAAGGGGTTTGATTCATAAAACTGGTCACGCCAGAGGGCCCAGCCGTGGGAGGAGGAAGCAAGGGAGGGGGGGTGTTTATTTTGTCTACTCAGAGCCTTACGGGTAGGTGAGCCATGTACAATTGCACACCCCGGCTCTCCGGAGGGTCAGGGAAGGCCCCCGGGCCCACTGGGGGGGGGCGGGGAACAACAGGACATGCCTGCCCAGGTAGTCGCCCGAGGCCAAAGGAAGCCCCTCGTTCCTGCAATCGCAGGAGAATGTGTGTGCTAGTATGCAGGGCGACTGTGATCAGTCTTGCCTGGCGCCCCCGCCCTCGTCCCTAAACACTCACCGGGAGGCGGTGGCCGAGGGAGCCCGGCGGTAAGGCCCACCGCCTCAGTGGGGTCTCAGTCCTTCGCCTCCGGCCGGTCCCAAGGGGTCCGGGATCCCGGGGTCCGGAGGCTGTGGCGTCCGCGACTCCCAGTCCCAGGCTCCGGCTCCGAAGTTGGCTTGTTAGAGGCTGGTCTCTCCTTAAGATGTAGGGGGTGGGACTGTCTCTACTGAAGGCGGGGCTCCTCCCCATTGGCCGAGGCAGGGTTTGGCTGAGCCTACACACACCCCTCCGCTGAGTGGGTCATTGCACTGAGCAGGCCAAATCTGCACCTAGATACCTCTCAACCCCAGGGAGGAGAAATTTTATTAGGCCAGCTGGCTTCAGTCAATCCTTAGTTTGCTGTGTGACATTGGACAGATTACTGCTTTTCTGCTGAAAAACAAATTGTGACATAAATGCAGGAGGTGAACATGAGCCAAGCCTTGGTGATGCACGTCTTTAGTACCAGCACTCGGGAGGCAGAGGCAGGCCGAGTTCGAGACCAGCCTGGTCTACAAGAGCTAGTTCCAGGACAGCCTCCAAAGCCACAGAGAAACCCTGTCTCGAAAAACCAAAGAGGGGGGAAAGGTGAACATGAGGGTCAGTGAAGATCTAGAGAAGCAGAGGATAGGGTAGGAAAGCCAGCTGGGGTGAGGGCTTAGTCCCCATGACCAGCCCAGCTTGCCAAAGCTCAGGATTTTTCATACAAATCTAGATTTTTTTAGGTGTAATCTCTCAGTGTGCTATTGTTGGAGACTAATCCCAATTGCAAAAGCTAGAAAGGCCACACAGTGCTTCCAGGAGCCTCTTACATAAAATCTCATATTCTGGGTTTGGGATCCTTGTGGCCATGACAGCATCCCTGGTCACCTTCCTGGTTTTAAATGGAAGAAAGAATGAGGTCTAGAAACAGATGTCTGCTCAGACTCCTTCAGTTACTGGAAGCTAAGCTTCAAGGCCACAGTATGCTTGGGATGAGAGGCAGAGTTGGGGACTTCATTAACAGTAGGAGGGACCTAGGTGTTTGTTGACAGTGGCCCTTGATTGAATGGGAGGGGCTGGTGCCAGGGACTAGTTCAGAAAAATCCCCTGCCTGTAGGATTCCAGGAAAATGATCATCCTCAACCCTCCCCCTCCATGGTTTGTGGTTAAAATCATGCCTTAGAGCCTTTGGGGATCCAGCTCAGATCCCAGATTTCACCGCTGTACCCCTTTGTACCTGGCCTGTAGCCAAGGCCTTTGGCTGAGTCACACTAGCTGAAGACTTGCTGGACTCCATCACCAGGAATGAAGGGGGTCTGGATCTAGTTATCAGGAACTAAGCAGGGTCCTTGTGTTGTAAATGCAGAGCATCAACATGGGTGCACAGCACAAACAAGCACACACACACACACACACACACTACTCCTGTGCAGAGCTAACGCCGGGTGTTTTATTTGCTCTGTGTAGCAGGTTTGAAACTTTGAAGCCATTGCCAGAATTTAAAAAATCAGGTGTTTTGACATTAAAGCAGGGTTCTCAAGCCTTTGAACGGGGACTTTTCTGAGGCTGAGTGGCACTGTCCCTCTGGCCAGGGCTCAGGTTCACCAATTACTCTAGGCCCAAATTCTTTGTGTGCCAGGCTCCTTGATCACTGAGTGTTGGAGTCAGCTCTGTCATCCAGCTCTCTGAACCCTGAGGCAGGAAGATTGAAAATTCAAGGCCAGCCTGAATAATTCCAGGAGACCTTCCTCAAAACAGAAGATGGGGTTGGGGGGTAGAGGAGGTGTATATCTCAGTAGTAAAGCACTTAGGATAAGTAAGGTACTAGATTCAATACCCAGTACCAGCAAAAAAGAGGAAACACACAAGTACTGTGTGACTTCTAGTCAAGCTGTCCCCAAGTCTCTTCCCATGAATCATGAGTCCTCTGAGGCCCCTTCCTTCCACAGTCTTCAGTATGTCCTAACTTGTCTAACGTCTTATTGTTGCTGTCCAGATACCAACTCCAGGGACCTCCACAAAGGAAGAGTGTGGGACACCTTTGGCCCAGTCTGGGTGACAGTGACAGATCCATAGAACTTGGACTGCTTTTAATAAGGGGTGTTGCCAAGCTGTCTGGGGTCGTGGATGGAGGGGATACCAGAGGAGTTAAGAGCTGTTTTCCTCCAGCAAGCCACCCTAATCCTTTCACAGGGCACTTGGTAGAGCTTAGTGCATTATCAGACCAAAGTCACCTCTCACTATCTAGTAGGTGACACCATTTTCCGCAGTCTTCTGGTTAGGGATAGCTCTAAGCCTTGGACCCTCTCTGACTTTGGGTTTGGGGTAGACTCTGGACTGATGTCAGGGTGAGAGTCCTTCAAGGTGGCAAGCCTAGAGACCGTAGCAACGGGCAAGGTACTGGCACTACCTCCTTTCCCATTTGCCCTCTGTCAAGTCAAGGTGTGTCTTCTGCATTCTGGACCCAGACACAACTTGGCTCTCTTCACAAGGCCTGGAGTCAGGCCCATGCCAGCTGTTGGCTGTTAGTTCTGGGTGCTGTGACCCCATTTCCTTGCCCATCCTGACCAGTGGGCAGCAGGATGCTCCTGCCTAGCAGAGAAGTCCAGATGGCTCTGCCTGAGGCAAGGAGGACTGGCCTGACCTGTCAGAGGAATCAGCCCTGCCCTCTATGACTTCCTGCTCCTGCTACCCAACACCTGAGTCAGTGGGCCAGAGCTGAGGGGGTGGGACGAGGGGAGGCCTAGCCTGCCTTCTGCAGGAGGTGGTTTTAGAGAGCTGGTAAATATCAATGCCCCAGTGGAATTAACAAGGCTCTTGTCATGTTCTCTCCTGTGAGTACAGCAGAGGTCATAGAGGCCTCCCCTGCCAGATCACTTGCTCCCCACCTCTGCTCCAGTCCTATGTTCCTTTGGCTCCCAGTTTTCCCAACCTTTCTTTTCTTAGTCTGTGTGACCCATCTCGGTACCATTGTGCTCCTACCCTACTTTGTCTTAAGTATACCCACAGTTGGGGATGGTAGAATGATTTGCCTAACATATATGAGGCCCTGAATTCTGTCCCCAGTTTCACAAAACAAACAAAAAGTAATCACCATCTTCTAATTGTTTATCTCCTACTGGAGACAGAACTCCTGATTCACCAGGCCCTGTTTCATCTGGCTCTGCCCACCTGAGTCTCAGCCGTCACCCTCACTGCCCAGGCCACCACATACATTCTTTCCTGTCCCTCCAAAGGCCTTGATCCAGCACCTGCTACAAGCCCTTCTCCTTGTCTGGAACCCTATCCCTTGTGATGTTTGACTTTTCCCTGACACTGGGATTGAAGAAACACCCCCTCCCCAGTGGTCCAGCCAAGACCAGCTAGTCCTGCCTACTACTACACAACCTCAGAGAACCCTTCTTTCATGTGTTTAGTTATGAGATTTTATATGCCTTGTGCACCAGGCAACAGTGTGCCTTGAAGATTAGTATGGGGTCTGTAGTACCCTCCTTTATTCATACAAGCAGGCTGAGCTGAGGGGAGTGGAGAAATGATTATAAATAAATGAATGAATAAAGCCATATGAAAACTGCAGGGGCTCTAATGTCAACTTTAGTATTGTGGGGTGACCCTAAGCCACACACCACCTTATCCCTTACTTGCCTTCCACTGTGGTAGACAGGGGTCAGCCTGAGTAGAGAAGGGCTTCAGTGAGGCCAGCTCACCCTGCCATCCTGAGGTTATTAGGGCCTGTACTACTCACAGGTTACCAACTTGGGCCCTCCAAGAAAGTGTGGAGACACCCAGGGCCTCATCCAGTTCTCCACCTATTTTGAGACTCCTGGAAGAACAGTAGTATGCAGGGGAGGAAGGAACTGGACAACTTACTCAGCGAGGGACCACAACAGGGATGGAACACTGGGAGTGTCAGAGACTACAGTCAGGAGCAAGTGATAAATTCTCACAGCCAGACAGTGGTGGCGCACGCCTTTAATCCCAGCACTTGGGAGGCAGAGGCAGGCAGATCTCTGTGGGTTCAAGGCCAGCATGGCCTACAAAGTGAGTTCCAGGACAGCCAAAGGTATTTCAGGAAAAACCAAACAAACAAAGGCGGCTCTCAGGTTCTTCTGTTCTTCTGTATGCTAGATGTGTCTCACCAAATAAGAGGCCACTGCAAGGTGGCACTCTTGGGCCTGGGACCTTCTTGTAAAGGGCCTCCAGGGCCCAGAGAGGAAGGGAGTCAGGAGTTCTTGACCAATGAAAAAGTTGGTCTTGGGCTGAAGTTGTCATAGTGTCAAGGGCTCTAGCCTACTCCAACCCTCTGGATTCCCAGATACCACTCCCTGCCACCATGACCTTACCTCAGGAATGTCTTTCTTTCTGGCCTGGGCTGTAGCCTCAGGGATTCCAGAGAAACCCAGCAGCTTTGGGAGGGCCTTTCTGGCTCAGCTGGGCACAGGGAATTGGAGTCTGGATGGAGGGCAGTCTGAGCCTCTAAGATGTAGGATGATGGAGTAGCCAGCACCACCCTATCCCTGGAGTGGCCCCTACAGTGCTAGGTTGCACCGGAGGTTGGAGGGTCCCTGGTTGGAACATCTGTGCCCTTAACTCCTTGACTGTTCTGGTCTCATCTAAGCTGGCTGAAGCATTACAAGACCTGGGGTAGAGGTCAGGCCTGAGTTTCCAGTGCCCAGGGCTATTGCAAACACTGCAGGGAAGCAAAACAACTGGATGTGTGTGTTGGGGGGCACTTAGTATATGGGCAGTACCAGAAGAAGAGATTGAGGATTCTGGGGGCCAACCAGATACAGCCAAAAGGACCAAGTAACTGATACCTTCTAAGTCCCTGTTCTGATGTCACAGGTTTGCAGCCTTCCTGTCATCCCTTACCTATCATCCAGCCCACTGGTACTCTTTCCCCAGGTCTCTGATACCCCTGCTGGATCCAGATTCCGGGCTGTTGATCCTGGCAGGAAAGGTAAGCAAAAAGCTGGATCACCCCACCCACTGCCCTCCATGTGCACTACTCAGAATTCAGGCCCTGTGCTGTTTTCTTCCTTGCTGTCCCCTGAAAGAGCAATCAAAAACAGTGCGGCCCAGTCCTGTGCCATCTTCACCTAAGCAGCCAAGACGATATGACCTCTAGGTAGTCCTCAGGAGGACAAAATCACAGTGTTGGTATGG